TATACAAGAATATTCTAGCAAACATATGGCCGGTACAAGAATGGTAACACTTCAACGACGGAGTGCCAGATGAGGGGACACCAGTGACACTGCATCCCAGTTGTGACTAATGGTCCATCTGGATGCTAATGTTAAACACTGGCAACTGCTGGGCGCAGGGGCCTGTTCGCGTGGATGGGGGTAGGGGCCGTAAAGGCTGCCGACCAGTTTATACTCTGCAAATCCCAGTGCTAATGGAATTGAGTATGACTGCTGGACAACTCCTAGTTCCATTAAGGGTCTGGATGTACTCGAAGCGGGTTGGACATTGAACAATAAAAACGTTTCTCTAAATTGCAGGCTATCATTCTATTCCCTATAATTTATTATAACCTTTACAGCATCTGTCTTTAAGCCACACGGAAGCTGTAAAAAGTGGACACGACCTGGTTGTGGATCAGGGAAAGATGTCCGACAGAAGATCAGCAGGCCCATGATAAGGAGAATAGCACAGAGACTGAAATGTAGACACAGCGATTAGCTGCAGTGGACTGTGAAGTCATTGTTACGCTTTTTGCAGCCTCTGTTCAGCTGGGCTTGGCTTTTTTCCATCGTACAGGGACACTAACAGCCTCGTCGACTGCCTGTTGGCTCCGATCATGTTATAATTCTGCTCGGCTCGGGTCTGACAAATAACCATTACGCACCCCCGTAGAAAAAAACAGCTGGTGATTAATGTCAACACGGCAGATCTCTCTGGCCACCTGATACCCTGTCGCGGCTGGTGGAAAGGTGGGCACTGTTTGTGTTCCTGTCACTTCCAGCAGGTACCAGATCCTGCTCATTCACTGAAGAAACAAATTACCTGGGAAAAAAAAACAACCCTTCAAAAATAAATAAGGCCTTTGGTCATAATTTTGTTTTCCATCACCTTAGAAACTGACGGATCTGAGATCACAGTAGTCCCCTATAAACCATTTCAACCTTGTACCCAACCACCCTATGACTCTCTGGTTGGATCTGTCCCCACTACTTTCAATCTTCAAATTAATCGCACTGGGACGAGCCATAATTATATTGAGGATGTGAGCTTTTAATTCCATCCATCCATGCAAGCATCCATATTCCAAATGTTTATTCTGGCTAAGGTTGTGGGGTGGGAGGAAGCTTTTAATTATAACAAAACAAAAAAAAAAAAATCCACAAATGAATCAGCACTACAAAATAATTAATGAACCGGCATCACCGAACAAGTTCCTCGTCTGAGATCACGGGCGATGAGTTTGCAAGCAAAGCAAAGACGCAACAGCTGCAGCTTAAGTGGCCCTAATTTGACGTGCTGCTGCAACGATGCCTTCCTGCTGACTGTGGTCCTCAACAGACGGAGAGCCGGAGAGGATCCGGGACAGCTGTTGCTGTTAAACCACCCCCACCCCCACCCCCGCCAGCCCAGACCCCATCCCTGAGGGAACAGATATCGAAGAACCAATGTATACTCTAGCAATGTCATCAGGACCTAAAGTTCACCCAGGTGAGCAGCCTTGGATAGGGAGGAACAATGATCAAGCATAAATCCATTCATCTCTCATAAACTACAAAAGTTTTTGCCCATTTTTCCATTTATTTCATGAGCTGCATATTTTTTTATTCCTGTTATGCACTGGGAAGTTGAGTGAACAGCTATAAATGAAAATACAAGTCAAATAAAATAAGCTTCCTTTATAACATGGAAGTAGTATATACCAGTGCATGTCTGACATCCTATTGACTGCTAACGTGGTGATGTCATAGTCAAATCCTTTAAATGCACTAGTGAACTGGTTCATCCCATGAAACAGAGCAGTATTTAATGTCCATTGTAGAAAGAATACCTTGAATTTTCTCTGCTGTTATAACTGCTAGAGGAGACTAACTCAATGAATCAAAGATATGACATTTACTTGCTAATAAAGGTACTCAAATGGTGAACATACTGTAAACGTATTTGTTAGCAAAGAATAAGAGTGTATTTTTAGTAAATGTTAAGTGAGTAACATGCAAATGTAGAAAATCGCAGCGTGTGCAAAAACTTTTGAATGGTAGTGTACCTTTCATTGAAATGAAGAATGATCCCGAATCAAGCGATCTGAGTCAGGTTTAACTAGCCAAGCGTTTACAGAGAATCACCCTCGAACAGGCACACACTTCATTAATTAGTTAGACAAGGAAATGCAAATTCCAAGACAGGACATAACTAATTCCACCTTTTCCATTATCCATCCAGGGCAAAACCATCTTCATCCATTAAAAACAGGAGCTGAGCTGTTGGCTGTACATTCATGAAATAGTCAGAGGCGAAAGCACTCACAGGATAGACCTAGTTAAAATGATTTATTGTTGTCCTGCTAAGTAATTCCACAGGAATGCACGCCAATGCTGATAAAACATCAACATGCAATCTTAATGCAAGAAAATGCAAACCCTAGTTAGGCTGCTTTTAATTTAGGTAATACCTCTAAATCTAACAAGCCTGTTTCCTGGGGTTACCTCACCTAAAAAAAACACTGGATATTTCATCATCACTCCAGGTCCCACTGGAGAAAAAAAAAAAAAAAAACGGATAATTGCATTTGTTTATGACTTTTCTTAACTGTATAATGATATGATATTTAACCAATCATGGAACTGAAAGTGCTTTTCTGGCTTAGATAGTTGCTGGTATAGAGCAGAGGTGATATCTTCGCCCTGCTTTATCCAATAGATGATGGCAATGGAAACACAATCATCGGAATTTTTCTTGGTATGAATCAATGATGGAAACAAGGACATAAACGATTAGTGCTTGGCACCCTTCCTGGGTTTGTGTATAGTATATAATATAACAGCACAACTGACACAAATGCAGCTGAAAAAAGGGCCCTGAAATGCCATTTGATTAAGCTTTCTGGGAGTACGAAATACAGTAGGAACCAAAATCTGACATCGTTGCTGTCATTAAACTCTACCTGATTTCTCGATCTATTATTAATGTTAACTCCACGCTCTACAACCTTGTGTGGCACGAGGGGAGTCCCACAACAAACAACTACAGAAAAACAAGTCATGGTTTTTGAGCACGCTGTCACCTCAACTGCAGGCAATTACACCGTCTGTGATATATTCACTCAGCCCAGCTAAAAAAAAAAAAAAAATCTGAAGCAAAAGGAAATGAGGAGAAACCAGAATTTCCACAGCTCGGTGAAGTCAGAATCCACAAAGCTTGAATGGGAGGTTTTGCCCAATCTGTTTTCTATCCACTAGCCATCGGAAGAGAGACAGTCCGGCCATGCCATCAACAGCTGGTTCTGGTTGCCTGGCAACAGCCAAGCTGCAGCAGGGAGGGTAGCGGGTGACTCTCAGAGCTTGTCCCAGACGAGGACCAGGCCTAGAGTTGCCTCGGGCATTTTGCCAGTCCAAAAAGAAAACAAGTTCAATCACAAACCACAAAACACACAAAAATAAATATTAAGTAAAGAGGAACAAGTCTTAGGCTATAAATCAACACACACGCACGCATGTGTATACCTCACCATGGCGAACAGCCAAAGCAATTACCTCACAGTCACAGCAGCAAAAAGGCATAATATTTTAATGTGAGAGTTAACAGGATATCAGCCTTTGAGAATTTCTTCTCAGCTTTCCCAGAAATGTGCCAAAGCTTTAAACGGTAACTGCTAAACTGTCCTCACTGGCACCGATTTCGAACTTTTCGTGCACAAACACATGTGCGCGCTTCCCACACTCTGCAGCCAGGCACAGCATCTCCCAGACAGGTGAGGAGAAAAAGATGCGATGGAATATTATAAACTCCTTTGGCTAGTAGCCTTTACCCTGCTGCAACCCCCCCCCCCCCCCCACACACACACTCCACCCCATCATCGCCAACCCCTCCACCCCTCAAAACGCACAAAGGCAGTCTGTCTTCCCTGTGTCTGCCCCACCCCTGTCACCACCCAGCTGCCTGACACACCAACAGCTCCCCTGCCAAGAAAATTAGAGAGCGCCCCGCGTAAATGGCGGCCTTTGTGTTTGCCCCAGCGTGGCCTGCTCTCCAGTGCACAATTGGGGGCCGGGGTGGGGGGGGTGGGGATAAAAGCAAGCGTCAACAACAGCAGTAGACAACTGGGCTTAATTCCCATTAATCTCAGTTGCCTACGCTACAGAACTTGGACTACAAAAAAAAGAACATGCTAACAGAAACGATTTTGATGATGTGGTCCATTCAAACCAATAAACAAACAAACAAATAAAAGTGTTTCGACTGCTTAGCAACTTAATAAGTCTCCCTCCTACATAGTCCCCCCAAATCCGCTTAGCTGAAAAAAAAAATTATAATAAAATGAGACATGAAGACCCCCCCCCCCCCCCCCCCCCCCCCCCCCCCATACTGACAGCTGTTGGACAACGAACCCATCAAAACCACTCTTATAAAGAGCTATTTAAACCGCTGTTATATTATGACACAGTAAAAAAAAAAAAAAAAAGTCGCCATCTTGTGTTGGCAGGTCTGAACCAGAATTGTTTTATGCAAATGCAATTCTGCATATATTCCAGTTTCATAAGCCGAAGAAGGCAGTATGGTTTCACTGACGATACCGTCTCCTGCGTTCAGAGTTCCTGTCATATATTCAGCTCTGCTCGCCTGCTGAATAAAAAGCAATAAAAAAGAGATACAGACTAGAACGCTGTAATTACATTCCACTCACGTCATACGCTTCTCTATTACAACAATGCAAGTGATGAAGACAAACTGTACTGTGACACCCACTGACATCAAATCATGATGAGCCCACTTTATTTTAACTGCAAAGATAATAAAAGTCAAAATTCTTTAATATTAGTTTTACATTAGAAAGGGAAGAGTGAGAAGAGCGAAGAAGGTAGAAAGAACATAAAACGGCTGGTGTGCTACGCTTTGAATTGCGTTTTTTTTTTTTTTTATGAATTGCACCTTTGGTTTAAGCCCAGCCAGGTCACACGGTTTTTGAGGAACTGGGTTTTACCTTCTCGTGGATCTCCTGGGTGGACTGTGCGTCGCAAAAAGCCACCGTCGCCAGGTCTTTGAGGATGGGCATCTCCACCGTACAGTCGCGCCCATCCAGCAGTGCCACTAGGGGGCGCGGGTGCATCGGCCCGTTCATGATTTGGGGTCGGATACCTGCGGGTTAGAGAGAGCAGGGGTTAGGGTTAGAGGGTAAATGGTCATTCGGCCACCCGAAAACCATGCATGAAAACGCCATGCTAAGGAACGATGTAAATTTGGCTAGCCTGTGCGTTTCAAGACCAAAAGGAACATTTCTTATTTCTTAAATATATTCCAGGCATAATTACACTGTTTCTGCTGTCATGACAGGAGGGCAGAATGCAACAAATGAGATGGATGTGTTTCATATTCCCTCTCAGACTGCAAAAAAACAGAGGAAGGGCTCTGACAGACATTGATGGGCTATTATCAAGGTTAAACCAACCAACCCAAGACCGACCACTGTGTGCAAACCCCCCCCCCC